CCCCCTCCCCCCCTCCCCCAACAGGCGGCAATCAGTCTCCCCCTCCCTTCTTTCCTTCTCCGGCACCTGCGTACGGTCTACTCGCTGACCTGTGGATGGGACCGAGGGTGAAAAGGTTCACATGGAGGGCCAGATATGCCCTTGTTTCTCCCTTGTCGCGGCTTCACCCACGTGTGCATGCACACGCACACACATCCGCATGTGTGTGCGTGTGTGTGTGAGAGAGAGAGGGTCGGTGTGTGTCTCTCCGACACCATGAGAGAGATGCTCAGCAGTTTTTTGTGTCTCCTCTCCCATCTGGTCGTGCGCGCGTGTCCCCAGCCCAACTCAGCGCGCATGTCTGTCTCTCAATCTATCCTTCCTCCTCTGTTTCTTGCCCGACAGCCCCCCACCCCGCCCCCTTCCTCCTCTTCCTCCTCTTTAATCTTCACAGCATGTACACACATAATAGACCCCCTTTGAATGGATGCCACCTTCCCAGGTGGTACATCGAGCCAGGTGGAGTCCCCATGCTAAATGTGCAGAGAGAGCTGAGGCAGTCCTCGCCTGGGCCGCTTGTCCTTTCCTCTGTCACGCCTTGGGTCCTTTGCCTCACCAAAGACCCCCCCCCCCCCTCACTGCCGTTGACAATGAGACATGGAGTTCACCTACTTTTCGTAAAAGTGCACATCGTAGTTTCGCAATGCGCACACAGGGGGGCGAGGGGAGGAGGATGGTGTTTATTACGACAAGGAGGTAACTCTTCTGGGGCGAAGTGCGCGTATGCATTCGGCATGGACACGATGCACACATGTGGGCGCGACCCTCAGCCTCCCGTTCGGGCAGCGTTTCCAAGTGCTCAAGGGCAGTGAGAGGGGGTAGGGAGGGCGAGAGGCGGGAGAGGGACGAGGGGGAGGATAATGTACAGCTGTGTTCGCGTGGTCCGTCACAGGGAGCGGGAGTCACGCAAAAGCACACATGGGTAGAGAGTGAGGCGCACTTGCGCAGGCAAGGGGAGAAAGGCGAGAGGCAGCGGTGCAACACAACGCGAGGCATGTGCGCGACACATCTAGGTGAGAGGGGGGAAGTCATGCCGCGTATGCGCGTGCACGCTCACATGTCACATGTGGAGAGATGCTGCTTCTGCCGCCTCCCGCGCAAAGGCAGGGAAGGGGGGGGGGGGGCTACTATGGTACAACTGGCCGTGTGCGGCCGAGAGGGGGGAAGGGAGAGAGAGGGGCGCAGAGCCGGACGGGAAAGACCACATGCGACACCTCCCTACATGCGCGAATACTGGTGGGACCCGGTGGCGTGATGGTGGTGCGACGGCTGCTGCTGCTGCTGCTGCTGCTGCTGATGTTGCTGCTGATGTTGCTGCGGGTGGTAGGAGGTGGCCCCCGTACCGGGAGTCGACATCATGGACGTCCGGCCACCGGCACCGGGAACCGTGCCGCTGTAGTGCTGAGGGTAGTGCTGGGGGGCGGGAGCGCGACCGACACCGGCTCCGCCCATGGCGGCGATGTTGGCACTCGATGAGGACTGGCTGACGGGAGTCGAGCCGATGGTTTGGCTGGCCACGTCGAAGCCCGGCTCGGCGGCTTCCGGATGGAAGGCCAGCATCTCCAGGAAGACCTGATTGCGCACGGATTTCACGCACTTGGAAACCGAATCCCAGTCCAGATCGAAGATGGCCGGGGCCTCGGGCTCATCGGTAGGGTCATGCAGTGCGGCCAGATATGGATGGCGCAGGGCATCCTCGACAGTGATGCGCTTGGCCGGATCGAAATTCAGCATGCGTTCGGCCAGGTCGATGGCCAGATCGCTAGCGTTCGGGAGGAGATCCCGCAGGGACATCTTGTTCCGGGGCGGGAGGGACCGGAGGAAGGTCTGCGCACGGGGGTTGTGCACCCGGGCAATGAGCGACTCGTCCGGGGTCCCCGTGAGCTCGGTGATGAGGTTGAGCTGGTGGATGTCTATGGTGTTCATATGTGTGTGTACGTGCGCGTGTGAGCATCCTTTCGCATGAAGGTGTTGAAGGGATGGCATGGGAGAAGGAGGAAGGAACACCCCCCTGAAGAGAGAGGGGAGAGAGAGGTGACAATGAACGCACAGTCGCGACCTGGGAAGAGCGGGCGCCGAGCAAGAATCTCCACCAGGATGCAGCCAACACTCCAGACATCAATGGCCTTGGTGTAGGGGCACCAGCCGAGCATGATCTCCGGAGCACGGTACCAGCGGGTAGCCACATATTCGGTCAAAGCGCTAATCGAGGGGCTGGCAGATTGGTTGGCCACGCGGGCCAGGCCAAAGTCGCAGATCTAGGAGCCCAGCGACAGGGAAGAGAGAGAGAGGGGGGAGGGGAGGGGAGAAGGTTAGAGAGGATGTCCAAAGTCGAGGGGTGGGAAGTGGATGTCCAGGCAGCCACCACATACCTTAAGATCACAGTTACCATTCAGCAGAATGTTGCTGGGCTTCAGGTCGCGATGCAGCACGTTGGCCGAGTGGATGTACTTCAGACCGCGAAGGATCTGATAGATGAAGTACTGGCTGTCAAAGCGGGCATGCGCGTGCCCCGGCCGCAGACACGCGTATCAAGGAAGAGGAGCCTGGGTTAGACTCGCCGAATTAAGGGACCACACGTCATGGGGGGAGATCGCGAGGGGGATGGGCAGAGTGGAGGGGGGGGGGGGAGATGGAAGAAAAACGTACCAGTGATCATCTGTCAGTGGCTGGGAGGACCCCACAATCTGGTGCAGATCAGTGTCCATCAGCTCGCTGATGATGTACACGTCGTTGAACTTGGCCAGACAGGGAGGCCGGAGGATCTCGTCGATCGAAATGATCTGCATTTCCCCGCGAGAAAAGGGAGGGAGACAAAGGGACAAAAGGGTAAGACATAGATATGACTGTGAAGCGACCATACGTAGATGGGATGTGTGTGTGTGTGTGTGTGTGTGTGTGTGTGTGCATGGGGAGTCAGGCGAAAAGAAGAGAGAGTGACACGCACATTCTCGTGGTTGAAGTAGCGCAGGAGCTTGATTTCGCGCAAGGTGCGCTTAGCATCAGTCAGATGGTGGAATGCGTTGGCGATCTTTTTGATGGCCACCTTCTTGCCGGTTTGCGTGTTGATGGCAGATCTGGAAGTGTGCAAACATGTGTGTGTATGTGTGTGTATGTGCGTGCGCATGCATGCGCATAGTAGTGGATGGGTCCAGGGACGGAGGAGGGAGAGGAGGGAGAGGTTAAAACACAGGAGAAGGGGGGGGGGGGGGATCTGACACCCAGGCAGCCAAAGACACGAGGAATACCCGAAAAGGAAGGCATGAGCAGGAAAGGTAGGCCCACAAAAAGGCAAACGTACACGACCACTCCGTAGGCGCCCTGGCCAATCGCCTTGATGATTTGGAACTTGGGATCCACCTCGAAGTTGGTCCCACCGACATTGACCGAAATGGTCACCGGCGGGGCAGGCATGGTACTGACCGGGTGCTGAAGGTGCTGCTGCTGATAGCCAGCAGGCCGGCCGGCTGAATGGTACAGCTGCCCAGAGATGGACCGATGCTGCAGGGCGGCCGCCGAGGAAGCACCAGTACCGGATGCCACCCCCGGGTGGACTTGATACGCGGAGGAGGACACGGCTGAGGCCATGCCGCTGGTGGGCGGCATGCGAGGCTGCTGGCCAGGTGCATAGGCCGATGGCTTGGAGCCAGTCCCAGCAGCACCAACCGCCCGGGGCCCAGCCGCGGAGGAGGGGGCCTGTCCCTGGGGGTACTGCGCTCCGCCGGCCGCCGGACCAGTCCCGCCGTAGGATTGGTGCCGACTGTACGGGATGTGGTAGGTCGAGGGACCGCCATCACCGCTCGGCGCCGGGGCATTCATTTGCTGAGAATGTGCCGCTTGTCCGGCCGCCGCCGCCGCCGCCGATGTGTGTCCCTGACCATGCTGCTGCATTTGCTGGTGATGCTGTCGCATTTGACAAGGAGCGTGTGAGTTAGCGGGAGCGCGCGTGCTTGCGTGCATGTATGCATGCGTATGCATGCGTGTGTGTATGTGTGTGTGTGTGTGTGTGTGTATATGTATATGTGCATGCGGAGGAAAGAGAGAGAGAGAGAGAGAGAGAGAAGTGAGGAAGCAGCCATACCTCTGTAGCGAAGGGGGTGGCACCTGGATGGAAGGGGGGCGCCCCGGGCTGGTAACCACCAGCGGCTGTAGGCACAGCACTGGCCTGCTGCGACGAGGCCGTCGAAGCCTGCTGCGCTGGGGGGCGCTGGTGCTGATCGAAAGAGGACATGGATACTTCTCGAGGGAGAGAGAGAGAGAGGGAGGGAGGGGCTGTCGAGAAGGAGGGACTATTGGGAGGGAGGGAC